AATTCATTCAAATACACAGCTATCATTAAATAATATCATCTAAACTGATCTAATTGTCCTTCCGTAGAGAGTCTAGTTTTCCAGCTTAAACATTTTTTTTTTGTCGATCCAAAAAGTAGGTAATATTATTTTTTTGGAGTATATCCTCTGGAATTTAGAAAATGTCATGGATATTTTCACAGTTATTTCATTCAGCGATTATTTCAGGGGGAATAAATCGTGGGAGTGGGATATTATCTAACTAAAAAAAACGTATACCATCCCTAAAAAGTTTATTTATTAATTATTTACTTTAATGACATACGACATACCCCCCTCTCCCGAAAATATTTGACCCTCCCCCTCGGGATAGAAGGTCTGAAATAAACACCGATTTCATCAATTCTTGTCATTTTTAATATAACCATTACCGTTACATTAGCAACGTAGCTTATAATAATATATTGTGCTATACAATACGTGCTCGTGTATTTGTTATCACGGGTTACCAAGCTGTTATTGGTAACTGTTTTATGGTATACGGAATAAATTTAAAGTAGTTAGTATGTACATCGTAAATATAAATAAGATTTACATGAACTGTTAAAGAGAATATTTTTTGTTCGTAACACTATTTGTACATGTATCTACTAGTAAATAAAATATGTAATTATGCATTAACATTTATGTATGATAAGTAAATGTACTGCAATTTTCCAAAATGAAAATGATATATATTTCTATCGGATTTTTCTATTTGTTCCATTATTTTTCAATGAAGAAAAACCAATTATTTTGAATTATGTGTACACACATGTAATATACATATTAGTACATACGTCATCTAAAATAAATGTATTTATTAATGCATTCCTCAGTTTATCTGACTGTACTCAATAATTAGTTTAATGTATTTCTACTGCATAACAACCATGAAATAAACGTAGTGGATATGACAGATTCGGTTAAAACTAGTATTAATTTTAAAGCTTTGTCTACAATATCATATTAAAATACAAAGGAAAACTTTTATCCAATTAAAACTAATTATTCTAAAACTTTTATCACAAAATAATGAATATATAAATTAATTATAATTTTATTATACCATATACTAATGTCAATATCAAATTTCAAAAACAAAATGAATTATTTTGAGCTTTAAATTGGTTTATGTCTGGTTTGTTTAATCCTTCACAATATAGAGTTAGTTATATTTGTTTCAAAATTCTGTTTATATTTATTATATGATAATGTGATTAATGAGTATATATATTATTTAATAGTTATAGTAGCCCACTATTCAATAAATTAAAAAAAATCTATGTGAGATACTGGAATTAATAGAAAATGTATAGTGCCTTTTGTTGTTTCAAAATTTTGAATTTTATGAGTCTATACTAATAAAATTAAGTTGATTTTATTATGTGTACACGTTTTAAATAGAACAGAATAGAATACTAGAATAATTAAAAAAGACTTATTTCAGATATCAACAATTATCATTACTTATGAAAAATTATATTAAATAATAATTAATACAAAAGTCAAAAAGTTTAAAAGATTGTGACCAAAAAAATAGTTAAAAAAAAAATGATAATAAGAAATCATAACAAGATGAATATTTTAAAATTAAAGAATACATAACAGTATTTCGTTTTTAAATTTATTTCACAATTATAGTGTTTTAATAATAAAAATAATCCATAGATGTAGTTCCCGATTTGTGTTTTATGGTATAAGAAATATAAAAGTAAAGATTAAAATAAATAAAATAAAAAGGATTCTTTCATTTAATAGAGGTTAATTAACGATTTGTATTGATGTTTGTGTCAGAGGGTCATAAATCACCCTATAAAATAAAACGATAAGCAAAAAAGGGGATTGTGGGCTAAAGAAATTTAATAAATTATGGAACGTTATAATACCTATGCGTTATACGAAAAATAATGACATAAATTTAAAATCAACACATTCATCGTTTAATTTAAAATATTTGAGAAAATAATTATTTGAAACCTAACCAAATAAAATTATTTAAATAATAAAAAAAAATGACAAAATTAAAATCTGCTAATTTTTAGTAATCAGTAAAATTATTTATTGTTAGGCAAGCACATAATTTTTAAATCATAAAAAACATCGTTAAACATTTGAAAATATGCTTGTTTAACAAAATAAATCATTATGTCCAAGTATGATTTTCTGAATAAAACTTTTAAAATCAAATGAAAAAAAAAAGAAGTTCATAATTTCCTACACTTATTTTATACATTACAATAATTGACGTTTTCTTAAGATCAAAACAACTGTCGATTATTGTATAGATGAATGGTTAAAGTAAATGAATCCACTCTGTCATAGTTGACATTCTATTAACTTTTAGAGGATTATTTTAATTAAACTTAAAATTTAAATATTTTGTGGTATTATATTGGTATTTTTCTCTATTGATATTTAAAGCTGTAAAAATGTAAAATAGTTCTTAGTTATGTTCATGAATTAAATTAAGTCGTGTAAAATGTATTATTTAATTTTTGATTAATATTATTACAAACGTCTAATATCACACTAGTACGTGTTATAAACTGTACTCGTTGTGCTTCTTTAGAATGTTAGTTGATAACGGTAAACATTTTTAAATTTAAGAACTGAGACGAAAATGTGCTTATTAATAATTATCAAAACTCCAATTGATCCATAATAAAATGTAATTTTAATGTAAATAACCTAAAAAATAAAATCAGGTTTGGGCAAAAATTATAACCTGGGTTTCATCATTGGATAGTTTCTTATCATGTCTTTATATCATCTATATAGATTATTTGTTGTACATACTTTTACTCATTTGCTTATTGAGTTTATAAAAAAAAAGATGGTACATTTTTTATTGAAAAAAAAATATATATAAATAAAAGTGAATATTATAATATGCTGTAAAGTTTATATTAACGAATGGTGTATGTGGAAGTAATTTTAATCTACATTTATAGCATTGTTTTGTAAATGTTGTTTTTATTCCCAATAATAATGTTACATGATTCGTAATACTTTTGTATTGCGTCGAATAGGTAATTGTTTAATAACATATTATGTATCATCATTGATTATATATATTCCCAATAGTTGGGGGTACCAAAATATTTAACATTGTTCTTTAATAGTCATGACCCTAATATTATAAGAGGCATTCGGTTTTTTTTATCTTGTCTCGTCATCGTCCAACATAATAAAGTAGGTGTTTCAATGTACCATAATTTATTTTTTAAATGTTTTATTCCATTATAACACTATGACATAAATATCAATAAAAATCATTAATTTAAACCGCTGTTAAAGCGGTACCTATTGTATAATATTCTATATTATTAAATTGCATTAATATTTACATTTATGTGTATGTTATATATTGTACTCTATTATGTCCAAGTTAGGAACATATATGTACATTTTTGGAATATTTCTCAAAGGACATGTATAGATACGTAAAATTATATGTTTATAAAAATTGCATGTAGTACCTACAATCATTTCCGAAAAGGAATTATCAATATAATAACATATAAAACATTATTATAATAATATTGTCATATTATAACATAGTTATTTATAATATAATATAATTTTTTAACCTTCTCCTTCCAAAGTTATGTAAGTATGACGTGGCTAGTTAACCACTAGTGATATAATGTATGTAGAATAACAATTAAGTACCTACCAAATTATTTTTGACATAACTTATTTGTGCAAGTGAAACTGAACCGTTTACTAAATTAAAACGTGGCTATGTTATATTGTTGACATTTCTAAGATTTCATTTACCTATTTATAAATGAATAACGTCGATAATGTTGACATTGAATTTATCGATTGCATATCGTGCTGAAAATAATAAAAATATTCCCTAAACCTACCTATTGTAAGCTTTGTATTGGATTATTTGGCATTATCATTTTTAAACAATTTTATTTTCTTAGAACATAATTTAACACAGCATATGAAAAACACTTATACCAATCGGTGAGGTGAAATAGGGTTAACAAAATATATTTAACTTTGGTTCAATAGTGACTAAATTGTATCAACAAATTTGCCCAAATATCTCATAAACAAACACATACACACGCTGTTACAGTTTGAAAGCTGTTGTTGCCCGAAGATGACAGTATTTCCAGTTGCCGTATTCGACGACGACTAGATATTTTTGGTATTCCTTCTATTTGCAGTGTTTGTATACACCTTTATATATATATGTATATATGTATATATGTATATGTACCTTTATGTATATACCTTTGTATACACTTCAAGTGTCTAGGTTAATACCCAACAACCCCTACCACTAAATATATGAATATAATAATTATTTTTTCAGGCGTATTACGTTTGGAATAGTTTTATGAACCATCAATAATTTTGTCTTCTTGGGAAAAATTGTACTGCTGGTTACAAATACTTATTTAACTTGTGTTTGGTACATTACGATCAATGGTAATACGTAAACACGGTTTTTATAAAGATAACGCGATTAGAGTTTTATAAATCTCGATGTACGGAATAACGTGTTGGACTGCTGCAGGACAGCCGCAACCTACCCGCGAGTGGGAACGAGAGAAATAAGAGGTACATGTTGTTTTTGCGCCGTAAGTGAAAATAAAACGAAACGTTGGACCCGTTGCGGCCGGTCCCGTTCGTCGTGTGCGCATAAGCTTTCTCACCGTAAGAATGTCATGACGAAACGTTGATGAAAATAAAAAAATGAAAATGCATAATATTACGATGACATTACGATAATGGAATATATGTAACACGGTGTGCTGTACCTAAACACGGGGAACGCGACGAAGGTGAGGCAGCGGCGGCGGTATGTGCCGTCGAAGAAGTTGTCTTCGCGGCAGTGGCGTAAGCGTATTCTACGGCGAGAAACCCACCGGGGGGACCACCGGCAGCGCTGAAAATTGAACCATGTCTAGGTGTCAGACACGTGGTGCGCGCCGGTTACGCATGCGCGGCGTACCGGCCACATTACGGCGGCGGCGGCGGCAGCGACCGGCCGGCACACCGATGTGCTGCGGTGCGCGCGTGTGTTTTGTACAGTGTCCGCCGACCGTCGGACGTTCTACACGCGTTCGCACTCGATTTGTCCCGGGCGCGTGGTCCCCCGGACGTACCACCTACTAATTAAGTTCGAGTTCCAAGCACATTGATTACGTTTGATCGCTATAATATTGCAGAAGAAGCAGAATAATATTCATAGGAAATAAAAATCTCCCGCGATCGTTGCGGTTTTCGCGTTTTCAACGTTTCATCCCGTTCCGCGCGTGCTGCCGAGTACAATAATATCGCCGTTGTCGCGTAATGTTGTCCGCTGTTCGGTCCGTCCGCGACACCCGCGAGTGATGTAACACCGTCAGCAAACGGACACAGGATCGAACAGTCGATTTGACCGTGACTTGTCGGCGTCGCACGGAACAGTTCGGTGGCGCGCACCTGCGACACAGCACGACGACGAAGGGGAGGAAAACCGTTTGCAGCGACAGCGTTGGCTGCGGCGGCGGAGTCGGTGGCGATGTCGCGATCACTGTCCGCGGCAGACGACCCGTTTACCTGCGCCTGGTGCGAGCCCATTAACCGCTACACCGCGTAGTATACTATAACCGCGGACGTGTTTCGCCCGGCCGTGTTTACGGAACAGGACAGCTGGACAGCTGTCGGACGCACGTCATCGTACGACGCGATCACAGACCTTTCCACAGCCGTTTACCGCGACAACGGCGACGACGACGACGACGACGACGACGACGAGGACGACCGGATATGCCGGTAGTGCGACTGCCGTCGTGGACGCTATCGGCCGCCCGATGAGTTGTTGTTGGCCGCCAGTCGCGTGTGTAACGACGCCGCCGCTGACCTGAGCGTTTCTGGGAAGTATGTGGAAGACACGTAACCGATACAATTGGTCGTGGTCTATACGTATTGTCGTTGTTGTAGCCGCCGCAGCCGTAACGCTCGCAATGTCCGCCGCTGAACCACGCGAATCGGCCGTCCCCTTGTCCTACGTTTCTTCTCCTCCGTCATCTTCCTCGTCCTTTTCTTCCTCTTCATCTTCTTTTTCGTCATCGTCGTCGTCATTGTCACCGTCGCGGTCGTTGTCTTCCGCTTCCGCCGCAGCAGCCGCCGCTGCCGCCGCCGCCACCACCGCTGCCGCTGCCGCAGTGGCCACTAGTGCGGTGGCCACCGTCACGTCACAACTGGAAAGAGCGCCGTTCGGCCACGACGGCACTGAACAACAGACCAACACTCCCGGTAAGTCGCGAACGAAATTCAAATGTCCGACGAATGTTGCGCATCGAATACAACTCCTAACGACACTTACGAAATTGGTTCCCGGGCCAAAAAAATAAAAATGTACCAATAGGTTTCCGTACTAATTACTTGGCTGAACAACAATTTCTTTTTCGTTTCTTTCGGATTTAGTGCTAGGTATGATTAATAGCAATAGCGCGTGTGAAAAATATAAGTAACTGTAATTTATCGAATAATAAATAGGTGTAATATAATAGTGATCGAAGCTCAGTCGATACCGAAATTAAATTCTTTGTATGAAAAACGCATGGTTTTATACCAACGGCCAAGTCAACAGAGCACGCCTTTCGTTCACTCTTACGCGAGTCTCCGCTTCATGTGTGACGGAACAATCAGGATCGTTCAAGGATTGCGATTTGCGATCATGTTCTATAATGTAACACCTGTTGCGACTGCTCTCGTTTGATACGTCTTCGTTTTATATGTAAAATATGTAGATATAATAAGCAACTTATATAACTATAATACCTATAGGTATAATAATGTATTTACGTTTATATTGTTTTTTCGAATTTCGATTTGAACAAACCGATGTTCTCATTGTATCGTTGGTAAAATACATATTATTTACCAGAGAATATAAATTAAACACCTGATATAACAGCAGTACACCAATGGATTGCCGTAAAAATGTGTGCACGAGTTCGACGTGTTATCATGTTAACCATAATTTTCGTCTTTATTTCAGTCAGATTATTTTCATTTCGCCTTCCCAATTACTTTCCCTTTCAGGAGATTTAATATGAATTTATTTCACATTTATAATAATGCAATATGCGTTCGAGAATGATTTACGATTAAAAAACTCGTTTTATTTACGTTCTCTTTCTATTGACTCTTTGAGTTGCTCACCAGCCGATGTGGACGAATTTTTAAATACTCTCGAGTCCCGACTCAAAAAACTTGGAAGTAAAGTCAGATACCTATGTATGTATGTATTTATATACATACAGCTGTGTAATTTGTCAAGTAGTTACACTGAAAGTATTTCGTGGGTTTTATTATAATAATAGTATGACTAAGAGCGTCTACGAACTACAGTATCTCCTCCAATATAAAAAAAAACCCAGGAATAAACGCACTAAATACAAGTAGGTACACCAGGACTAATTTGAATCATAATATAATGATGTACATTCGGATAAGTATTATATTTCAACTCCCACGGTGACACAAGAATTCGTTGGATGTAAATTGAATGTAATATACCTGATGGGAACAAGAAACTCGCGTATATTGCGAGAGAAAAATTAAATTTGTATAAATTTGCTGTAATGAAATTTAAGGATGATCGTGCACCGAGTCTTAAATAATTTCTACATTATAATGTACTATAGGATAAATTACTATTTACATTAAATAGTATTAATTTATTTTTCATTTTTTATTAAAAACAGGTTTGTTCGATTAATAAAATATAGATCTCCTCCGTTGGTCGAGTTGAAAATGTAAAAGATTCTGGTATTTTGATTTATTAACATTTACTCTAGGTCTATAAATTATATTTCAGAATCGTTTTAAGTTCATAAAAATTATGTGTATATGTTAGTTGAAGATTCGTGATTAGGCCGCGCCTGAATAATATTTTGACTACACCATCCATTCTCGTGAAATCTCATTATAACACTTAGAAATAAAACGACTAAATATTTTTGAATTAAGAAAAAAAAACGAAACGATGGTTGTAAACCACTGTTTTTAAATCATAATTTGCAATTTTTTTTCTGTTCTTCCTTGCTCAATTTTAACCGGAAACAGCCATAGTTATGTTATGCCTTTGAAATCATGTATATTGAAATGTTTTTAAAACGATGGAGTCGCTCTATACCGCGTACATGAAGTGTTCAAATAAAAATAATCGTATCGACTTGGTTACGATCAAATCACATTTTCTAATCGAATCATGCGTGTACACTCGTAGTAGTAGTATAACGATCGCGTACAAAAGACGGTAGTTAGCGTTTTTTGGTTGCTCGAAAGATGACCGTCAACGCACGCATTTGTCGGGTGCATGATCTACGGAGGATAGCGGTGACACGTGGCAACGATAGTGGATTTCTTGTCCGGGTCCCGTGCGGACGGGACGAAATATCGTCGTACACGTTCAAAACGCCGGAGAAAAGGATTGCGTAGCCCTTGCGTTCTCGCGGCGCACCGTTATCGTGACAGTATACGTATCGGTTGCGTGTCCGTTCGTCTGTGCAGGTGTAAATATTGCGAGAGGTGATCGTCCTTTAAGGACTTTGACTGCGAACATCGAACCGATGTACTGCGCACAAATAGCGCTCATCGTTCGCGGTAACGTAGGGGCAGGAAAGAACGTGCGAAACGCGCAAGAACGAGAGAGCGACCGCCTGATCAGGACCGCGGGAATTGATCGCGTTTCGTCCGGCAATCGTGTAATGCAACGATGCGACGCGTGACCAACCTGGTAGAACCTCTATGAAGTTGGGACTACTTCTAAAACGCGATCGTAAAGCTCGTTTTACACCATTGTTTCCGTCGAGAGTCCACAGGAACCGGCAATTCCGTAAACGCCCTAACAGTTTTTTTTTTTTTATTGTAACAAAGACTGCTGTGGCTGTTGGTCTGACATCACCTTAAGAGTTTACCCATTAGATGCATTACGATGCATTACGTAGCATTAATTCTCAACCTGAAACATGATCATATTTTGCTATATAGATCAGGTTTTTTTTAAGAGTGTTATTAGATTTTGAGTTGAATTTTAATCCGGACCGAGAATTTCATAGAGATATATGGAGCAGAGAATTTCCTTGGCATTTGGTGAGGATGTGCTTGACGGTAATTCGAACAACACAAGTGAAACATTTGAGTGACTTCTATTTTGTCATTGAGTATTGGTGAGTGATTGAAGTATGGCCCATTGTGAGGCGATTTAAAATTATTTCTCGTCTTCTGGAGTTATTTAACGGGGGATGCCAAGGCAGTATTGACATTTTGATTTTAGATTGAGTTTAGTCGTCCGCACTAATTGTTTATTTGTTTCTTGATGGTTTTAACACTACAATGTACCAACACTGATAAAATTTAAAACGACAATTATCAATATTAGTAATTAAGCTACTTACTAACATTTTTTCTGCCTACATACTATGTAGACCGTCGTCTTATTAAAGCACATATAATACGAACAGTCAATGAAAATATTCGTTTTTTTTAATCTACCATTACTGTTATGCTGCCTATAATCTATAATGAACTCTCTTTTAGACATCTAAAAATGTCAAAGTTCCATTTCTTCCTGAACGGAGGCCTTTTGGCGGTAATCCGGCACCCCGTTGGTCGCAGCACTGATTGGTACGCTTTTCTCGTTTTTGTCAGTTTTCCGGAGAGTCAAGTTGAAGATGATTCGTACGGGACGTTGCGCATGATCACCAACACGTTAACACGTTAAACACGTAAAAAAATATATAGGTTTACTCCAAAAATCTCAAATTTGTTCATGAAGATTTATTGTTATACCAATTCCAATAGTTCCATTACGGTGATCATAAAACGCATTATTCTTTATAACATGAATGACGATTAGTTGCACATCGCTATTATATTAATTCGTATAAACGCAACGATCTGCACTTGCTAGAATATATTTTAAATATTTCATGTTGGCTACAGGAGATCACAATTATATAATACGATTCATTTAATATAGCATGACTAAACAATCTTTTATCTATAGTTAGAAACTATTTCTAAACAGGAAGTTTTGCGACACAAGTTTATAAGATCAGTAATGCATTTGGGTCTACATATGACCGAATAGAATGCTTTGAAAGTGGTATACAACATTCAAACGAAATTGTTCTCATTGCATTCATTTTTATTCTTCCTCTTGTTTTACAAGAGACTGACATGACTGTTTGTAAAATCGTGGATTGATTTTGAAATGAGGTGAAAAATTCATATTTTCTGAAAATTTTTTTAACAGTTTGGAGTCAAATGTTTCATAAGTAATTTGTGGAAATATTATGAAAATATTTATTTGGAATTCTATAAACTGATTCTTTTAATTATTTAAAATTTTAATGATAACTTGAAAAACGGTGAACATTTCTTGAATTTGTGTAGGAATTATTTTAATTGGTCTTACTTGTAAATTGTAATCTGTCTTTCTTACTCCGGATATTTTCTAATATTTTGGATAGTTAAATTATGTTCTGCAAATGGTTTGAATAATATTTATTTGAATTTGTTTTGCATTGTTTGTATTTTAAAATTACGCTTGAGCACTATATTTTCGATTAGAAAGAAAGAAATGCTATTTTTAACAGTTTTAACCTACTATAAACATAGTATTCAACTGAAATATAACAAATATTCTGTTTTATTGTAATGCCGTTGTTAGTTTTATACTTAATAACCTAACTAAAATACGCTAGAAATAAATAACTTTTCGATGCATACAAAAGAAAACTTCGATCAAACACGGTACGCAACATTAACGACGATTACGCGATGTCAATAAATATTTGACGACCGATACTCTACGTGGTTATAATTATTTTAATAAATTGTATAGTTTTCTAAAATAAAATACCTTCTATCTGGAATTTACATATAATGTGTTGTACATTATTCAATAAGATTTGGTAGAAAAGTTATATATTTTGCCACGATGAGAAAAATCCTATTCCTCAATCCCATGATAATATTCACCTAATGCCTCGAACACATATGTACATAATTAATTTTATGATGGTGCAATTTTTCTGTGGGCAAAAATTCAATCCTATGCGTCCTAACGCATTACGGCCTACCAAAAACCTTATAATAAATGTAATATTGGTGGATAAATTAGTATAAAACGTATTGCTACTCAGATATTAGCTATTTGAATATCTTAGCATATATTATTTTCAATAAAATGTATTAGGAATATAATTGATTTTTTAAAAATGTTTTTGCTCACACTAAAT